TTTAAGATGTTTATAACAACTTTCTTTTTATGAAATTGGCTTTGGTTATGTCTCTATAGTGATTGTTAATGTAATCTTTAGATGTTAATTATGTTTAATTGTTTATATTTATCATGATTATAATTTTCTTTTGTATTTAGTGCTGTAGGATATATTTATTCTTTGAGTATAAATGTAGTGATACAGAGATATATAGAGATTTATATATAATGTTGATTTTATTATTTTAATACAATCTCTATTTTCCATATAAGAAAAAATCTGAACAGCACTGTTATAAAAAAAAAATCAAGTTCCAGCAATCAAGATTAAAAGAAAGATGCATAACAAAATTCAATACAGTACACAATCAACTCAGAAAACAGTCATAGCATACAACAGCAACAGCACGATAGAGACAAGCTAGCAGTAGCACAAAACAAGATCAGAAGACCACAACAGCTAAAACCACAAATTACAAAAAACCAACATCCTCACTTCTAGCTTGAAAGTTGAGACAATAACATAATCCAAAAAAAAGGTGAAACTCAGCCAATCAGAGCAAAGTTGGAAGCAAGCAACATACGGCGCACACCACAAAATCAAAGGTAGAAAGACCATCATTTATTAGTGCTGTTTAGCCCCACCCAGATGTGTCATCTCTTTCCATTAATTCCACAAATATATCAACAAATTAAATTACATTTCAAGGTCACTTCTGTGCCAATATATGTATATAGTGAGCATCTAATTAATCCGTTCTCTTCTTCAATCTCATCCATTGAACAAAATTAACCTTGAAATTACTGTTCATATATACACATTATCTTAAAAATACTCATTGCATATATTAACATATATAATCTTGGATTAGAAATTAATTAATAAGATGTCATATTCATTGATCTTTTGTACATGTTAATGACTTTGGATCCCCCATAAATGTTTGTTACGCACCTAAGAGACACAGAAATGACCAATTGTAGGTCCTGAAGAGTCTCTAATTAAAAAAGGATCGTCAGAAGTGGCAGCAGGGTTAAGGACTAAAGGACAGTTTTGAATTAGGTTCATGGAAGAAAATGACTGCCATAGTACTATTATTTTCCATCACTAATAATACCTAGGATACCAACACCCACACCCCCCCTAGAAGTAAAGAGTCATTTCCTTCTTTATTGCTTTCTATCCTCTTTGCAGAAAAGGGTAGAAGCACTATTTTTTCCATGGCTCGGCACATCACCTCTTCCACTATACTACAACTGGTCCAACCACTTATATCTACAAAACCCATTTTTCTTTGTCGTATAGCCGGCTTAGTCCAGGTATATGGAAACGAGATTATCCGATAGTGGTGATGTAAAACTCCATGGTTCTTAATTTTCTCCCTCTTAGTCTAGGGTTAATTTCTGAGGAATTGGGTGGATATAAAAATTGAAGAAATTAATATTCTTCTCAGTCTAGGGTTTGTGGGGATTTTTCGGGTTCTGATTTTCGGTTTCTGGGATATTCTTAGATCTCTTCTTCCAAGGATATGGAGATGTAATTTTCAATCTCCTTTTAGGGTTTTTTTTTTTTTTTTTTT